TAAAGTTGATTATTTTCCAAAAACAGCACTAAAGTCTTTTATTCCTCTTATAACTCAGCAATGTATGCTGTTGGTTCGTTTATAATATACATTACATTATCACTTACAGCGGGAGAAATAAGTATTGGACATGCCAAATTTGAATATAAAGAATTATAAAGAATATAAAGGATTCACAACGTTAAAGTCCATAAATAAAGTTATGTGCAATGAAGTAGAATGACACGGGAAAAAAGTATTGAACACACTAAGAAAAGGCAGTTCTCCAAAGCAAGGTAAGGCAAGGAAGCAGCTGAAATCCGTAAGTAATTATACTCCCTATCTGTAAATTGAGTTAGTAAATTGATGGTTTATTAAAAGGCTTTTCGTTACCAAGGTGTCACACAAGAAACATCTCATGCTGGGTAAGCTCACCCAAGACCTTCACAACCTTATTGTTGCAACACATATCGATGGAATCGGATACTGACGTATTTCAAAACTTACGAATCCTCCAGTAAGCACCATTGGGATCATTGTCCGCAAGAGCAAGCAACATCACCTCGTCATCAACCGACGCACAGGAGCGCCTCACAAGATCTCTGACCAGGGACTCAGAAGAGTAGCCCAGGTAGTAGTCAAGGACCACTCAGAAAGAGCTCCAGAAACACTTGGAGGCAGCAGGTATCATCGTCACAGAGAAACTAATAGGCAATGCACTCCACTGCTCACTCTCACACCGCACAAGACTCCATTACTAAAGAAAAGGCATGTTGAAGCTCATTTAAAGTTGGCTACAACTCATTTGGACAAGCCTGTGAGATCCTGGGAGAGTGTAGTCTGGTCAGACGAGAGCAAAACTGAACTTGTTGGCTGTCATACTACACACCATGTTTGGGGAAGAAATGGCACTGCACATCACCCTTAAAACACTCCACCAACAGTGAAGTTTGGAGGTGAAGCATCATGGTGTGGGGCTGTGTTTCATCACATGGTACTGGCAGACTTCATATCATGGAATGATGAATGGAAACCTTTAACAGGAGATTCTTGAGAAGAATCTGCTGCCATCCACCAGGATGATGATGATAATGATGATGATGATGATGATGATGATGATGATGATGAGTCATGGGTGGGTGGAGCTTCCAGTAGGACAACGATCCAAAGCATACAGTAAAGGGAACTCTCAATTGGTTTCAGAGAAAAAAAAAATCAAGGTGTTAGAACGTCAGCTTCGGGTGATGTTCACATCAACCGTCAGAATGGGGAAAATCTGATCTGGTCTGATGAATCCTGAATTCATCAGAATTTTAGCACCAACAACATGAATCCATGGACCCAACCTGCCTTGTGTAAACAGTTCAGGCTGGTGGAGGTAGTGTAATGGTGTGGGGAATGTTTTCTTGGCACACTTTGGGTCCGTTAATTCCAACCAATCATCACCTGAATGCCACAGACTGTTATTGCTGTTATACTGGTATTGTTGCTTCCCACGTGCATCCGTTCATGGAGAAAATTCACCCATCTTCTAATGGCTATTTCCAGCATGGTTTCATGAACATGACAAGGAGTTCAAGTTCAAACTCGAAATCAGTTCATCTGCTGTTTATGATGATACCTCAGTCAATCACCTGACTCGAATCCAACTGAACAAGATTTAAAGACAATATGTTTAGAAGAACGGACCAAAATCACACCTGAATACGGCGACCTTTGATTTCTTCATCCAAGAGTCTTGAAGCGTCATTACAAACAAAGGCGTCTCCACTACGTATTAAATACATTTCAGTTAGTGTGTTCAGTACTTTTTTCTCCGTGTCATTCCACTTTATTACACATAACTTCATTTATGGACTTTAATCTTTGGATTTCTTTGTGTGTGGATTTCTTGAGTTAATACTAATGACTGCTGAAAATTTCATGTGAATATCCTCATTGGAAATATATTTACTGAAAAAAAAAATTGTTGACTGTTCTAATACTTATCCCCCCCCACGGTATGATATACTTTCTAACAGTTGTTCCTTTACCAGCCTCAGTCACTGGTAATTTAATAAGACCAAAAAAAAAAAAATTGTAACCTATATCCAACTTGGACTGGAGACTCCTTCCATAAATGTTAAATAAACGTTTACGTTTAATCGGCCATACAAGCTTCGTGAATATTGTGTTACTATAGAAATGATAAGATATTTGGCTGAGTGCATTAATATAAACCTGTGATTCTTCAGAGCTGCTGTTGAAGGAAATTAATCAACAACATTCTGACCATTCAGAATTGAATGGCGCTATGGTATAAAAGGTGGCTTATGTGTTTAATGGATTCAAGCATAAAAGGAATTTCTTAGATTTGTATTGCCATTGTTGGTTTTCTTTACTTGGATAAATTTCTGCATGCAATTATACAAAAACTCTAAAAATCCCTTTCCGTGAACCAAAATTCAGAGAGGTCCCCATGAGGCTGTTTTCCATCCAGACGTTTCGCTAGCTTGAAGCATGTCTCTGAAACGCATTCAAAACACACTTGGGATGCAAAGCATGTAATGGATCCGTCACAAATTTCCAGAGGTGTCACTACATGGACTGATCTAAAGATGCATGACGAGCGCAATGCGACGGCGTGTTTCGGGCAGAAATAGCATTTCTTAGTCGCTGATGATGAGTGCACCCTTGGAAAACTTTGAGATTACAAAACGCTTGAGCTGGGATGGGGAACATCTCAGGAACGTCTTCTCTACCTTTAGTTAGAGCAGGGAACCTCAAAAAACGGAATCCTTATCTAATCATCCAATCGTGTGGCAGCAGTGTATGCAGATACGGACCAGCAGCTTCGGGTGACGTTCACATCAACCATCAGAATGGGGAAGATCTCAGTGATTTTTATCGTGGCATGATGGTTGGTGCCAGATGGGCTGGTTTGAGTATTTCTATAACTGTTGATCTTGTGGGATTTTCATGCAGAGCAGTCTCTCGAGTTTACTCAAAAATGGTTCAAAAAAGGAAAAACATCTGGAGAGTGGTAGTTCTGCACGTTGAACCTTAAGGCAGGTGGGCTACAACAGCAGAAGACCATATCAGGTTCCACTTCTGGAAGCCAGGAGCAGAAAGGCTCAGTGGGCTGCAGTGAGCTGAAGTGAGCACAGAACTGGACAATTGATGATTGGAAAAATGTACCCTGGTCTGATGAATCTCTGGTAGGGTCAGAATTTGGCACCAACAGCATGAATCCATGGACCCAACCTGCCTTGTGTCAACAGTCCAGGCTGGTGGAGGTAGTGTAATGGTCTGGGGAATGTTTTCTTGGCATTTTGGGCCCGTTACTACCAATCGATCATCGTCAGAATGCTGATGCGGAGAAACACCGCTCCTGAGCATGATACACACACACACACACACACACAGTTTGCAAAAAAAAAAAATCCAGAATGCTAAATCAGGAAGTAGGCTGCAGCATAACAAACAAACAATGCATTTCCTTAAGGCCTAACTCGAAAGAAGTTTGAATGGGGCGAAATGTAAAATTTCCTTTCATGTTAAACAGCTGAGCTCAGCGGAGAAACTTGCGCGTCCATGCCTTTAAACCCTGAAGCTTTTGAAAAGCTTGAGTACATTTAATTACCGCAAATTAATATTCAGACGCTTCAATACAAAGCAGTGGGCCCCCAAAAAAAAACAGGCAACAAAAGCCCTTTGTTCTTTTTGCCTGTTTTTTTAAAAAAAAAAACAATGTGCCGTTGTTTTTAATTTTTTTTTTTTTTTTTTTTTGCCCCGAAATACCACCCCCACCTTTTTGTGGTGCTGTGCTTGGTCTGTGTTTTTTTTTTCTTTTGGGCCCTTTTTTTTTTTTTTTTTTTTTTTTTTTTTTTCATTACAGATTGATTCTGTCTCCGCCGTGGCTTGATAGGGTTTCAGTCCCCTGCATAAATAGTGTGTTTATTATCTGTGGGCCTAATTCGATGTGGATTGGTTTCTCTCTCCTCATATAGAGTAGCTTACAAGTTGGGATGTGATGGGATACGATGAGATGAGAGCGTTTAGTGTCCCTCTCGGTAACGCACACCAACACGGATGAATGCAGGTCTTTAGAAAGAAGAAATGTAATCTATGTTGGCTGTGTTCGGAGGGAGGATATAAACCTTTGGTATATTTAGAGTCATAATCAATTTGCTTACAATTGAGAAAATCTCGGTTAAAATGTCACGCTGTCATTAAATCGCAGCTCTGTGTCTCACACATATGTAAGGTGGTGAGTTCAAATCCCAGCACCTCCAAGCTGCCTGTGCTTGGTCCTTGAGCAAAAAAAAACCCTTTAACCCTCAACTGCTCGCTTTTAATTTGGTCTCAAGTGTACGTTGCTTTGGATAAAATTCATCCTTGGCATGGAGCAACGTTGTGCTCCATGCTACCTGGGATAGGCTCCAGGTTCCCCGAGACCCTGAAGAAGGAGTAAGCGGTAGAAGAGGGTCTTGGGGAACCTGGAGTCTATCCCAGGGAGCATGGAGCACAAGGCAGGGTACACCCTGGACAGGGTGCCAGTCCATCGCAGGGCACAATCACATACACACTCACACACCCATTCATACACTACGGACACTTTAGACACGCCAATCAGCCTACCATGCATGTGTTTGGACTGGGGGAGGAAACCGGAGTACCCGGAGGAAACCCCCGCAGCACGGGGAGAACATGCAAACTCCACACACACAGGGCCACGGTGGGAATCAAACCGCCGTCCCTGGAGGCGTCAGGCAAACGTGCTAACCAATAAGTGGTGGCTAACCACTAAGCCACCATGCGCCCCACTTTGGATAAAATGCAAGATTTAATTGGGAAATGTAAGACCAGACTACATGGACTCCTCTCGGAATCGTCCATCCATCTGTTTTCCATACCGCTTATCCGACACAGGGTCACGGGGGACATTGGAACTTATCGCAAGGGACTCGAGGCACAGTGGGGGGGGGACACCCTGGTTAAAAAGGCAAGCACGAGGAGAACATAGGAGCTCTGCTCACACTGGGCAAAGGTAGGATTTGAACCCCCAACCCTGCAGGTGCGGGGCAAATGCTAACCACTAAGCCACTGTGCCTCTTTCCTCTTGGATCCTTATTCTGGAAATGACTCGCAGGATTAGGATAGACCAGGCATCCCTACAAACCAGAGTAATTTCACTGCTGGTTACATGTTTCCAGTTTCCAAAATGCCACGATATAGAGTCTGAAATCTCATCACTATTTCCAAAAATCTGCTTCTACAAGCCTTTTTCATAACTCTTCATAGATCGCCTTGTATCCTCCAGATAAGAGGAAACACTTGTGTTTTGGCAAAACCAGGCTCTAATATTCAAACACATTTACATAAGGACAAGTGGGTAGGGGGGGGGGGACAACCTCTTTCTTTGCTTCATGTGTATGTTAGAATTGTAAGTGAGACAGAATCCAGTTCAGGGATAAAGTGCCTCCATGATGGCTTCCTGGCACTCCAGGGATTTAAACTCGCATCCTTCTGGTCACGATGTCGAAGCCTAAAAAAAATCGTTTGAGTTGGGGGGGGGCGAGGGGGGGGGGGGAATCCGGAGTCCTGCAGTCCTCCTGTTACAGAACAGCGTAGCCAGCATTGCTGGAAGCTGTGTTCGTGACTTTCTCCTCTTAGAGTTACTGCCAAAAAAGTACCGAACCCATGCGCCCTATTTCTACCCAAGGGTGAAATTGCCTATTTGTAATTTCCATTACAACCTAGCCTTGAAAAATGATTTTTATCATCTGAGGAGAGAGATTTTTTTTTTCCTCCCCTCTCACTTCCTCTACCTCGCTCTCATTTTGACAACGTGCTGTTTGATGAAATGTCCTCTCTTCGTGTTTTTTATTTATTTATTTTTTTTTACCCCCTCTCTTCTAGTTTGCTCACTTTTCTTGATGTTGATCGATGAGTGCCGCGGTGTTTGAGTGGGCAGTCCCGTGTTTCCTTGTGGCTTGGTTCAGTTTGTTCAAAGTGACATGAGGCTTGTGACAGAAGATTTAACTCGCCCCCTGTGCAAAAACTCTCGAATCACATACTTCATATTTTTTTTGTGTGAGTAAACGATACGAGACATTCCACACAATACGATACGATTTCAAGTCAGTATTTGACCATACCAGTGAATGTTCTACGGTACGATATTTTGATTTCGATTTGATTTACATCTGTATAGAAGTCAATGCAATGGCCTCCAGGCGACGTTGTTTCTAGAAGGTAAATCACCTTGCTCAAATAATTGCACATCGGTTTAAGAAGCTCAATGATTTCTTACACATCAGTTGTCTGTCCTTTTTAAATACTGGTTACGGGAATAGTTTTGTGATCGCTGCTGCGAGTTATATTTCAAACGCTGCCTTTTTATTCGACGCATCAGTTCAAAATGTATCATCCACCGCATCCATATAAATTCAGAAAATGTCAAACGTTTCATAAAAGGGAAAACCTGTTCCAGTGGTTTAGTGATGGAAGCAGGATTTCCAGGCTCATGAATTTCATGGATGGATTTAGGTTCAATGGATTAAGTTATTTATTCTTTGGGTTGGTGGTTAAATATTTTGCATATGTTAATTAGACCTAAACATAGTTATTATTATTATTATTATTATTATTATTATTATTATTATTATTATTATTATTCCGCTTCTTCTTCTTATTATTATTATTATTATTACTGTTATTTTGTTGGAATTAAACCATATTGCTTATTTTAGATTAATTAGATCCGTTAATCTAAATATTTATTTGTTTGTTAGTTTATGTATTTATTTGTAAAGTAAGCCTTTTGGATGCATTTGTTTAATAATATAAATTAATATATTTGATTAAATCAGGCTACTTTTGTCCTTTTATATTATTATTATTATTATTATTTTTTATTTTTTTTTATTATTATTTTTTTTTTTTTTTTTTTTTCTGTGTGTTGGGGTTAAACCAATTTGCTTATTTTAGATTAATTACACCAGTTAATATTTTATTTATTTATTTTATTTGGGTCTTAAGCAAATGACATATATTTGATTAAATAAGGCTACTTTATTATTATTGTTGTTGTTGTTGTTGTTGTTGTTATGTGATTTTTATCTTTGAATAGGGCCAATTAATCAAATTGACTATATTGGGCTATGTTTAATCTGATTAATTTATTTATTTAGTTTTGGGTAGGGGCTTAAATACTATGGATACATGCGATTTAATTAAACTATAAATGCTGTAATTAAAATAAACTTTTATTGAAAACAGTAAACGTCTATTAATAATCCAGTTGATTAAATTTATGATGTGTGTATGTGGTTTGAGGTTATAATTATTCAGGCCTCCAACTGTTTCACACTGGTTATAATGAATGTGTAGTTAATTAACTGCTCTAAGCCTTTCTGTTGAGGTGAATGAGTGGCATAGTCTATCTCTCTATCTATCTATCTATCTATCTATCTATCTATCTATCTATCTATCTATCTATCTATCTATCTATCTATCTATCTATCTATCTATCTATCTCTCGATCTATCTATCTATCTATCTATCTATCTATCTATCTATCTATCTATCTATCTATCTATCTATCTATCTATCTATCTATCTATCTCTCGATCTATCTATCTATCTATCGAGAGAGAGATTAGCTTTTTCATTTTGAAACTACTTTTACTGACCCCTGGAAATGTCCATTGCGCAGATTTAATCATTACCTGGCAACCTCGGACGTGAGCTACCATGCTGTCCTCTGTCTCTGATGTTCCTGCTCTGTGTACTGAAATATCATTCATGACTCGATTTACCCGAAAGCTTATAAATATCGGTTGGGGGCGGGGTTAACGTCCGTACCAGCGACATCGCCGCCACTGGCTTTCGCGTGTCTAAATGCGTACGGGTTCTGAATACGATGAGTTTAGTAGATTCAGGCCTGGGATTTTGTACTGGAATCCGTTTCGACGTGAAGGAAGGGTTGATTTGTATAATGAATATTTAATTGAAATGTTTTATTGAATATAAAATTTAATCGAAGCATTCCAGTGGCTTTGTAAAGGCTCATTAACGATTAAACGAAGCTGCTTGTAAATGTTTATATGATGACTCAGAACGTGTCAGCATTAAAGGCACTTAAACCTTAGCGCTTTTAGTTTCTGTGTGTGTGTGTGTGTGTGTGTGTGTGTGTGTGTGTTTATCCTTTTATATCATGAGACACTTCAAGCATGCACTGTCTTAACTGTGTAAATATCTTCTTACTCAGCAGAATATCTACTTTATCCACTTTTACACCTATTATCTATTATATCTTTATTTTCACGTGTGTGTAATAAGTGGTTTGTAACTGCACTTGCACGCGCACACACACACACACTCACTAAACTTGACCGAAGACATACACACCAAGTGTGGTAGAGTGTAATAAACTCGCTGTGTGAGTCGTTTACCTGGGGAAGAGATGGCACCAGGATGCACTATGGGTAGAAGGTGAACTGGCGGAGGCAGTGTGATGCTCCGGGTTGGGAAACCTTGTGTCCTGGCATACACGTGGATGTTACTTTGACACGTACCACCTACTTAAACACTGTTGTAGACCAAGTACACACCTTCATGGCAACCTTGCACTCTAACATCAGCTAATGCGTCCTGCAAAATTGTTCAGGAGCGGTTTGAGGAACACGAGAAAGAGTTCAAGATGTCGGCTCGGCCTCCAAATTCCTCAGATCTCAATCCGATCCAGCGTCTCTGAGATGTTCCGGAGAAACTAGTCCGATCCATGGAGGCCCCACCTCGCAACGTACAGGACTTGAAGGATCTGCTGCTAACGTCTTGGTGTGAGATACCACAGCACAACTCGCAGAGGTCCTACGGAGTCCAGGCCTCGACGGGTCAGAGCTGTTTCAGCGGCACAAGGGGAGGAGGATCTACATTAATATTGGGCAGGTGGTTTTAATGCTACGGCTGATCCGAGTATATAAACTAATTTGTAGGAAGTTTTAGACACGTATAGATGGAAAAGATTTCAATTACACTCGCACGTCGTTAGTGCGTCTAGTTTTAAAGGCGTGAAAGATGCCAAATCTGGTGACAAACGTGCCTCCACTTCTTGAAGCAAATTGTATAAATAAAAATTTTGCGGGGAAAAATGGTGCACCCACCCACACACACACACGCGCGCGCGCGCACACATTTTTCCTTTGTGGTAAAATTATACGAGTGGATAATGTTCAGGCTCTGGAACGTAAAGGCACTGAGGTTCCTGTGGACTTTCTCCGGCTTTCTCTCTTGATCCCTTTCCTGTCACAGTCTAATGGAGGGATGAAAGATCCGATGTCTGGAATATTATTGAGGTGAATTTGAAGCTTGAGCATGAAAACTCATAACCCCCTCAATCTCTCTCTCTCTCTCTCTCTCTCTCTCTCTCTCTCTCTCTCTCTCTCTCGCGCTCTCTCGCTCAGGGACCAGTTGATGGGGAATGCTTTAATAATTTAGTATGGCCTTAAACTAATCTATTCCAAGCACCCAGCCGGTATTTTTATTGAGCAAACGCGACGATAATTGAATGGAATCATTTACTCACCGCCACTGAATGGCGTGGGAATTTACTTATTCACGTCTTCAGACGGAGATTAAACCTGGCAACCGCACTGTTTGCTAAAGTAATTGATGAGGGTGAAAATGCGCTCAAAGGGAACTCATAATTTCTCAGCAGCCCGTGTTATAGCACTGACACACGAGTGTTTAATACTGTTAATGTGTGTAAACCTTCAAGCAAGAACTGACGTGTGTTGGATCATTGAAGTCGTTATTTTACTGTCCACAAAAAATCCCCCACCAAAACAACAACAACAACAACAACAAAAAAACACCTGACCTAGTGACAACACAATCTTTTCTTAAGTTACGGACTTATAATTAGTTTCAAAATATATGACATAATACATATTTGAAGCATAAACCAAAATTACACAAAAAAGTGTTTGTTTGTTTATTTGTTTGTGTTTGTTTGTTTATTTTCTTTGTTTCTACAATATTTTTTTTTCTTGCCCACAATTTTTTTTTTTTTTTTAATGTTTATTCATATATTTATATTTGTTTGTC